ATATATATATATATATATATATATATATCTCTCTCTCTCTCTCTCTCTCTCTCTCTCTCTCTCTCTCTCTCTCTCTCTCTCTCTCTCTCTCTTCATTCTCTTGCTTGCATGTCTCCTTAAATACAGTTATGTGCTATACACACACAGTCAAAGAAGAAAATATTTCAATCCATTAATAAATATATATGACAATTAATTCCTCCCCACTCCTTAAAGTTAAATATACCAGTTTGAATTTGTAAGACGTCATAGATAATATATCAAAGGTCATTTCTTGTAATCATACACTTTATGCAGCTTTATATGTAACAGTCCTTAGATGGTGTGTCCTAGGACAGAAATAAATGCTTCTCTTTCTCTCTCTCTCTGCTTTTTAATGCTCGGATAAGGCGCGACTTTTAACGCCACGGTGCTGACTGGAAAAGCTGTAAAAATGCGATCTAAACGCAGCAAATTGCTCCCGCGAGGAGCATGAGAGATCTAATCGCGAAGATCGCGGCGGTAACTTTCGCACGGAGGAGCGCGATAATCCGGGGAGAAGACCTCGTGGCGACCTTGCGCGCCAGGTGATAGCTGGGAAAATTCGAAATGGTAATCAAAAGTTGCCGCCGAGTTACGATCTCGAGAGTCGTCGCCTTTAAAGAGACTGTACATATCCGAACGCTTTGAACTTTCGTTTTATCGTTAGCTACGCGACGATTCTCTCTCTTTCTCTTTTCTTTCTCTCTCGTTCTCTCCTCCTTTCTCTCTTTGCACGAGTTTCGGCGGACGACTCTCGCGAGTTCGCCGTCGGTCCGAGGAGGGGCCGAGTTGTTCCCACTTTGAGATTTCTTCGCACTTTGCGGAAACTTGGGGCGAGAACTTTCCGAATTCGCTCCCTTCGATCTTGCAATGTCGTTAATACGCGAGAGGCTCTCCTCCTCTTGGTGGCCCCTCGGCCCCGTGGGATCCCCCGAGGGCGCTCGTAAATCATTTTCTTTCGTCGCGAAATCCATCCCACGCCCTGCGATTATCTTGCCCGCGACGGCGGCAAGGTGGAAACCAGCCAAGGAATTACTTTCTTTCGTGACCTCTGCCATGCCGGAATACACCACTGCCGCCGTCGCCGATGAATCGCGCGCTTCGCTAAGCTCCGAGACAAACGAGCGGCGCGTTCGACGCGAAACTAAATCGAGCCCGCCCAGGAGAGGCGTGCGAGATGCCTGAGGATTACCCGAGGTGTCCTTTCCGTCTTCGCGGGCTCTGCGAGAAAAATCGATCCAAAGTCGATATTTCTTCAGCGAAAGCGGACTCTCGGATGAAGGTTGTATTTTTGGCCGCGGCACTGAGTATACGATCGATCAAGCTCCGCGTTGAATTTCCGCTCAGGTTAACATCGTGGAGCTCCAACATGATAGAATTAAAATCAATTCGAGAAATAGGAGCAAACTAATTTCGCACGATATTTCCCAGTGCCGCTTGACATTACATGCTGCATTGCCGCGTGACTATGAAGCTGCAGTTAATATTGGCGCACAGTTAACATTACGTGGGCGAATTACTTTAGCGCATTAACTAAACGGGAGAAAGAAAGAGAGAGGAATATCCGGTGGTCTCGGTCTTGCGTGCAGTTGTCAGAATGTCATATCAGCGACACCTCGCCACTATTGAAATCTTGATGGACGTCTGTATGTATTTAGGTAAGAGTACCTGCGCACACTGGAAATGTGCTCCGCGCGGAATGAATCGATACAAATGTGACATTCAAGTGGCGTCGGTTATTTTTGCATGAGATTATGACGGTATATTTCGGGAGTATAAGAGTACATCGCCGATTCTCTCGTCAGATCGGAAAAAGACGCGGCGACGTCGCTTAATTATATCATCGGAATCGGGGAGTTAATAACGATTTCGTGTCGACGCAGGACACGGCTCCGCGTGGAATATGCAATTACGATCGCCGTTATTCTCGTCGCGCTCGTGTCGCCATGCCGTGGAGGCCGGCAGCAGCAGCGGATCCAGCCAGCCGTCGTGGCGATAAATCGCGAGATTTATGTCGACAAATTTGACAACATAAGCCACGGAATAGAACTCGCTGATCCCGAGAACAATGCCGAATCGGCATCTAATTTGCATTCATGAAAAGGGCAAAATACTCGCGCTGTCCGTATTAATTAACTCCCGGCGCGACGCGCGCGCGCACGAGAAGGAGAGAGAGAGAGAGAGAGAGAGAGCCGTTATTTACGGAGAATAATAAATCGCGGCGTCGCGCACATATACGTACACACACGTACGCATGCACGTATACGAACACGCGTCATGATCACAATGTGATTGCGGGACACGTTCTCGCGGAAAGGAATTTTCGGAGGCGCACGCTGCGAGAAGTGGAACGACGGCCGTGCAAGCGAGTGTATTCGCGAAAAGCTTCGCGAACGGCATTCCGGGATTAGCGGCGCGGCCTGATCCAGTTCCATCGTCGTCTCGTTCGACGATCGCGTTATCTAGAATCCGGAGGCGCACGTCTCTCGCGAGGAGAAATTCATGGCGCAAGCACGCAAGCACGACGGCTATGTCCCCGATTGCCGCCTCGACGGAAAATCGAGCGAAGGGGACACGGGCGACGGAGACAAACAGCGAGGAAGATAGAGAGAGAAAGAGGGGGTGACAGAGGGAGGAAGGGAGAGGGAGATAGATAGATAGATAGAGAGAAAGACAGAAAGAGAAGAGAAGCTGAGACAAGAGAAAGGGGAAGGTGGAGCATTCGCGCACACGACGGACGGAAGTCGGCCGCTAAGGTAGCAACGGACTCTATTCCGGGCTTCCCGATTCCTGAAAGCCCGAGGGTGCTGCAAGCTCGACTCTATTGATTTCCTGCGTTAAAGGGAAGCGCTTCGTGCAAGTAGGCACGTCGTTTTGTATACCGAAAATCCGCAGACCCACGCGAGATGCGCGCGCCCTCCTCCCTTTGATAATATCGAATTTAATCGCGCGTCTGTGTATTTTGCACGAGCCATTGCGAGCGATCGCAGATATTTCGTGCCGAAGCTGGTCGAATCAATTGTCAATTAATTAGATTAACTGACGTGGAAGTGTGCGCGACGCGCTTGACGGTTTCGGGATTTCGCCATTATCGAAATGGCGAGAATTCCGAAGAAGATAACAGCGCGGAATCCACGAGTGTAATTTTGCACGAGGATAACATACATCCGGTTAGAACGTCGAGGGCGAAATTCCCGAAAATACAAAAGTGCACATCTCGATTCCCCCACTTCCTCCGGAACAAATTCATTAAAACGATTTTGGAACACGTACAGTCGGAATACAGGAGAGACAAGAGCGAGAGGCAAAATTGTTATCTTGACGCATGATATTTCACGTGGACGTAATGTCACCAGTGCTCGTTCAAGATATCTGCACAATCGATAATCGATGTCCCATTTTCCGTACACCCCGCTTATCTATAAGCTCCGGCAACACAATAACCGCTGATAACAGACTTCGAGACAACGACAACGACGGCGACATCGAAGAAGACGCATTATTCTCGCGGGCGCATTACCTCGGCGACGCCGTTAAATTATGAAACGTCCAGCAATTCGGTAAAAATGCCACGTCAAATGCACCGTGCGGACGATCGAAATCGTGGTGAACTTTTCGACGCGTCGATCGAAGTTCTCAGGCACGACGAGACCGGTTAAGCTAACGTGACGATCGATGACGTTCGTCTCGAGCGTTCGGAGAACATAACGCAGCCGTCTCGAACGATCGTCGCCTTTGATTGGGATATTCTCTTAGATCTCTCCGTGGCAGATCCGACGACACTAGACGCTCACTCGACCGTTGTGTCTCCCGAAGCCAATGCCGCGAATAAAACGTGCGTTACCAAGGTTGCATTTCAAAGTCTTTTTGAAGAGAAGTTTACTCAACATCTATAATTCACATTATATCTAGAGTATCGAGCAAAATTTCCTCAAAAAGAACGTTTTGGAATGCAACTCAAGTGCAAGAGCGCAACGCGGTTTCCTCGCGGCGCGTCGTCGATTCGCGTTCCCGATCACGATTTACCGTGCGATCACGTACTATCACGCTATCGCACGCTCGAGGAAGACATTCGACCGTTGATTATCGCGATTCGCGATTCCATCACGCCGCGATATCGTCGACAGGCGGTTTCGCCGAACGGTGGTTGCCGCGACCTTCGCGCAAATTTAAGCCAACGCCGCCGATTCAGCGGTCTCGCGACGGATATTCGCGCGCAGCGCCGGCTGCAGATCGATACGAGCCGCGAAGAGTTAATTTTTCAAAGGGGGCTAACGGAAAAAAGAGAGGAAAAACACTCGCGTGAGGGGAGAGCGAGAGGAGGAGGGGGAAGAAAAACGGATATGTTTGCGCAAGTCTGATGGTTTCAGCGAGGAGCTGAAATTCTACATCGCCACGCGACTCGTCTCCCATCGAGGAAGAACGCTATCTGAACAATTTGATATAACGCGAAAAGTAGGTTGGCCGGATAACGATTAATGGAATTTATTTCTGCGCGCGCGCGGCTGTGTGAATCACGCACGTCTGTGTCGCACGCGCGGGGCATTATGCGGAATGCAAAGAGCGCGTCGATACACCTCGTATTTACGATATTTGTTATCGTAAACTATGCAGGACGTTTAATAATAGAACGAAATTGGATTTCACTCACCACAACGAGCGCGTGCGTCAGAGCAGTCGATGACCTCGACCTCCTCGGTGTCATGCCGACGACCTCGCCCCTCATGATGCTCTCGACGACTGCGTGGAGCGGGAAAAAAAAAGCGAAAACGCTATCAAAACGCGCATTTCGAAACTGTTGAGCCGCGTGCTCGTGAGCAATCGTTCAGAAAATTATAATCGAATTCGCGTCTACGGTTTTCGGGTAAGCGCGACGCGATCGATGCTCCGAAATTGTATTTCGAATTAATCGCCAAATAATTTCACCAAATAATTAAGCAGCGAAATGCTCTCGTAATGCCTCGGAGTGAAATTTCACTCGAAAAGTCGAGTGAATCACCGAGTCACCCGAATCGATGATTTCCGAAACTGATCCAAAACTGATCCGAAACTGATTTCCCACAAAGTGAATTTCGTACAGAGTGAATTATCCACTCTGAATCGTCGAGTGAATATCTTCACTCGAAACTGAAGAGCGAATCTATGATGTAATTCACAGGGACAAATTCACTCAAATCGACTGAAACGTTCGCTCATATGGAGTTAGGATCCATCCTAAACTTGAACGAAATATTCACTCTTGCGATTTCGAATGGCAGTATCTTCATTGTCGCTTCGAGCGAAAATACTGCCACTTCTCACTCGTTTCGAGTGAAATCTCACTCCAAGGTATTTAGAGAGCATGAACAAGTTGAGCGATTCTCTCTGTGATTCGCAAATTTTTTACTTTCAAACTGACTATATCGAATTATCGATTAAACGCGCGCGTCTTATTTCGTGCTAATGTTCCTTACCTCCATCGCCGATTAGCCGCATTTGTACTAAGGTGGGATCCTCGTTGTGATCTTCGAGGACCGTATCGTCGGTGACGGTCAAGTCCTGGAAGTAGATCAAGAGAGAAGGAAATGTCAATAAGATTCCCATAAACGATCGTGAATCTGTCAAGCGCTATTAAGGGATTACAAGACTCTGGCAGGAGTGAAGGTTGGGTAAAATTTGGGGAGCCGTAAAAAATTGTAAATTAATAGGAGTGTCAATGTTTCGTCATGTCAGTCTATTAAGTACATTCAACAATATCTTGGTATAAAAAAATGCGAAAGAATTCATTATAAAACTCTAAACGCGTTCAATGCTATTTTCAAAGTAGCATTTCTTTAACTGCAATCATGATAACTCGAGAGTGATTTATTCGATTAACTGTGAATGTTTGACACAAATGTTTATCACAGTTATCTGTATCAGTTCACGGAAGCAAAATAATTTTTTATTTATTTACTTTATAAACTCGAGTTCTTCAGTAAGAAGATCAAATTTGATTGTTTTTAATTTTCATTTTACGACATATTTTCTTTTTTTTAATTCACTCCGTGAACCGATAATCACACCAAAATATTGTTAAATGTTACTTAATAGACGTATATAACAAAAAATTCATACTTCTATTAATTTGCAATTTTTTACAGATCCCAAAATTTTACCTAATTTTTACTCCTGTCAAGATCCTGTAACCACTTGATCAGGCTCGCGCGTCGATCTCGTCCATTAAAAATAAAACTAGATCTCTCTCGCAGACGAATACACAGAGAAAATAATGTAGTAAAGATTATTATATATAATTTTAGTACTCTGAGAATAGACTGGCATTATGACAAAAAATTATAATAAGACATATCAAAAGTGATCATAAATATAGTAAACATTATCATAAATGTAACATGATAACAATTATCATGTTACTGTGGCTTTATTATAATTTTCGTAATGATGTCAGTTTGAACTCGGACTAAAATTGTAATGTAACTTTTGCTACAATATTCTTTGCGTGTACATCGATCCGCAATTACCTATACACTCTTTTCCTCCTCTTTCTCCCCTCCTCTTTTTCGCTTTCCTCGCCTATATCCTTTGTCGTTAAACTCGACGGACGTCGTAAATAACTGCAACCCGCGGTGGTACCGAAAGAGCCAAGACACCCGGTCGTCTTTCAGGTTCGTCGATCTCACGAGAGCGATTGTATTCGGGCTGCTCAATGATCCACATCTGCATTCGCCTCGCGGGCGCGTTAATCGATTTCGATTCTTCCGAGAAATTTCGCGTTTCCCCAAAGAGCGAGCGGAGCCGCCTCCCCGCCCCGCACGTCCGCCAATTTGCGGGTCAGAGATCGGTCGATCGATGGTCTGGCTGCTCGTTAAGACCCGTCACGATCGACGCCTCCCCTTGTCAATGCGCTTAACTGATCGGCGGCGAGACGGAGTTGTCTGGCTATTACGAGATGCACGCGAGAAGCTGCGCGCGATCGCACGGCGCGGAACTTTTGTGCGCGTCGTCATCGATTCCCCCTCCCCCCCGCGAAAGCAATTTTTGTCGGCAAAGGGCCTCTTGATTCGCTCTCGATCCTTCCGCGTCCTCTCTTCTTTTTTTCCTCTTGTTCCTGACCGCAGGGAAAGCCCGAAAACGCTTATTTGATACGCGAAACTAAATGAAATTGCGCGATCTCGCACTCGTATTAATTCATCAATGCTTCGCGTAATAAATGATATATAATACACGTTTTTATCGCTCGTACGTTTTGATGGTGGGGTATTTCATTGGAGTCTTTGTTCGCATCGGGAGACGGACGCTACGACGATGGGGAATACCCGAGTGAACCTCAACGGGCAAACGATTCGATTCCCTCGGCATCCCCCGAGGAATATTCGCGACAGACGCACATAGTAGGGGGGAGAGAGGGGAGAGAGAGAGAGAGAGAGAGAGAGAAGAGCAGAAAACGAGCGCGAACGACAAAAGCTTGCCGCGACATTTTATGTCTACCGATACTTTATGTTCCTACGCCCTTCGATCCCTACACCTTTTCCGGACCGTTTCCTCGTCGCCGACTATTTTAGGGATTTAGTTTTCCAATAGGAATGCTGCACCAATGTCGGGATAAATTATCGGAAGCTTCCGCCGAGAGGCAAGACGAGGAAGAGAAGGAGGAGGAAAAGGAGGATTACCTTCGCGGCGATGCGAGTCTGTCGTCCGTTCCATCGTCTTAAGATATTTAACGGTAAAAACGACGGAAATATCGGACGCTGGGAAAAATTGGAGATCACTTCGGCGCGTTCGCGGTGAATCAGCGCGAGCTTACTTACCTACACCTTGTCTAAGCAGAGTTTGGCCGCGGTTTTATCAAAATCCTGCGAGAGAGAAGGATATATTTTCAATTTCTCTCTTTGCCTACCTGCGAGAGAAAAAGACAATCTCTCTCTTTGTCTATCTCTCCTTAACCTAATCTAACTTACTGCGATAGGAGTACTGTGATTGGATATTTTGTGGGATTTGATAGTGGACTAATTAAAAGTTGCTTTCTCTTTGGCCAAACTCTGCTTAGAGTAACTCTAGTCGTGTTGAGTGTATTTCACGGCGAGCGTAGCACGTGAGAAATTATGCAAGATTCATCGCGATTTCAGGCTCGCAATCATGACGAACGTTAAATGCCGTTTTTGTCGTTTAGACGGGCACAGATGAATAATTGCCTGATATTCAATAAGCGCGATCTAATTGTGGTATTGCCGACTAAAATTGGAGTCCTTTCTTTAGGTCTTCTCGTCTCGCTATCAATCCCGCCACTAATGGATTGATTCGTGGTAATGAAGCTCGCTCGCTCGCTCGCGCGCGCGATCTAAGTATAGAACACATAATATCGAATAAAATTTAATCTCTTTCCCTTTGCACTTCGCCTCGGCATCAACTCGCAAATGGAGACGAAGCACTGAGAGAAAAGTCCACGAAAAATTAACGAAAGGATATCCGATCGACTTGATCGACAGTTCAATCGGGTTCCAAAAACGACTGGATGCATTGTTCGAATGGGACATCCGTTTGTTGACTTTCGATCGGATCGTGAATTTTTCTTTCAGTGAAATGTTCAGGATAGAGACGCGCAATTGGTTGAAACGTAAAAGAGGGTCGCGATTTGCTCCAAACGATATTCTCGAACGCTGAATCGACTGAGCGCTCCCCGCGAACATCGAATATCGCTTCCGCGGGAAACGCGGGGATTAAGAAGATGTCACTAACTTGAAAACTTTACCGACAAAAAATTGACTTGTTTCTGCAAAGTTTACATCGTATATATATTGCTTAAACAAAATCACAAATGCATCTACACACTGAGAGTACATACGATAATGAATTGGAGCATCGCTTGATATGTAGTTAAAACGACAAAAATTTTTTGAATTGAAATCTGGTGTAGATATTTACTCGATATAACAATCCCGCAGCTTGTGCGTGCCGCACGTACATTTGCTCCACTAATGAAAATTTCAAGGAACATTTTTGTGTCTATAAAACTGGATATAGAAGCTCAAAGATACACAAAATGTGTACAGAAAAATTTTTGTATATGCGCTTATGACTATATTTTCTGTTAGCATGGTAAAATAGAGCGGCACGCATTTATGTAAGATCCATATGTGCGGGAAATGCGAAAAAAATAGTATAATCGCGTTAGTGACAATCGCTTCTGCGTTATCGACATTTTTAGTTGGTCATCCCTTTAAGACGATGCTGGCTACCGACACAACACAGCTTTATAGTTTCTTTTTTCTTCTAATTGGATGCATCAAATTGAAAATGCTCTTACAGAATTAAAGTGCAAACGTTAATGAATAATTGATGTTAAACAGTCGCATGAAATCAATAAAAAATTTTTATGGTAAGTCGATAAATACAAATTTTTTGTTGAATTTCATAAATTTCATTTCAACTCACACATTTATGTAAGATCTATATGTGCAAGAAGTACGAAAAGAATAGCGTGATCGTGACGATCGCTTCTACGTTATCGACATTTTTCGAGTTCATCATTCACTTCGGCATTCCCTTAAGAAGAATCGAAGATAGGATACGAGATCGGACGATCGCAGGTCGGAGGTCCGACTAGTCGTTGCTGCCGGACAGTTTCCATCTGGTTCGCCATAATATTTATTATCCAACCGGTCTTACCTTAGTGGACTCGTTGTAACCGACGATCACGGCTGTGTACCATTGTGTGGTGCCTTCCGCCCGATAAACCTCGACCCTGAAACCGACCAGGACGCTGGGCGTAGTCAGCAGGATTCTCTGGCCGTCCTGCATCTCGGCCCATCTCCTAACGGCGTTTCCCCAGGGCATCGTGCCCTTAGTCAGCTCCCAATCCTGCTGCAAAGAGGAGCAAAAAAGCCGTAGTTGAAGCTGCGCTCGTGGAACTTGATTAAGAAGGGCGCTACCTCGCTGCACACCCGGAAAAGTTGTCCGCGATTTTGGAAGAGAAAATGAGGGAAGGCAAAAGCGAAAAATCCGTGAAATTTGATGAGAGATAATAGAGGGAACAAAAACGACCTCAACGCAGGCAACCCGGGAGCGCGGAATTTGCTCTTCACGTCGAAAGCGACCCTCGACTGTGTTTTATACGAGATTTTTCATTCCATCACTCGCGAGTCTAATGAAAGCTTTCGATCCACTGGCTAATCTTCAAAGTATCTCGAATAAATTCGTCAGGAACTATCGCGAAAGCATGGAGAAACGTCGGTGAATCGAGCGTCCCAATGAATGACGCGGCATCGGACGTTAATCGATCGAAATTGGCTTTGACTAAAATAATCGGTAAATCGATGGTCAGAATTAATCAATCGTCGTGTACGAAAATCATAAATAATTCAGTCAATTGATGAAATTAATTATCCGTCAAACTTTGGTGTGATCGATTATACAGCGATCAATAATTAATCTCATCAGTCGATCAAATCACTCGTGATTACGTGTATGACGACCGATTAGTTTTGATTATTGATATGCCGCTTATTTTAGCCAAGGAAAATTTTAATCAATTAATGCCTGACACGCTGTCTGTACACGTGATAGTAACATCGAATCTGGGTCAGCGGCATTAACTTTTCCGCAAAGTCGCGTTACCGATCTATTGTTGCATTATTTAAAATTACTTCCACGGTCTCGACAGCGCTCGAAAATGCGGGAGACGCGCCAGCTTCGCCGGGGTTTGTTTGCGCGATTCTATTGCTTTAGTATGCCACATCTCATATAATGCACGACGCATTTTAACGGACGACAGTAATATCACAGAGGCGAACTCTGTTGAACGGGTATCTATAAACATCGTTAGATTAACGTACGACGTGATTTGCGAAAATATTTAAACAGTCAATTCAATTCCATTCAATTTGCAGATGCACCGCTGGTCCGAAACACTTTCGACGGCAACGGCGTATAATATTGTTAGTGCTGTCATATACCAAATAAAAGGACCGCGGCGTTCTATTTCATTCGTCGATCGAGACGCCATTTTTACCTCGCACGTTAATGCTCTTATAACATGTCAAGGGATATATAATGGTATATACGCGACGTGATCGATGAAATCAAGACTCGAAATATTAGATCCGTCTAGCTGGGATCCAGAAACGTACATTGTCGCGCTCGTCTCTTCGCTAACTGATATCGGAATATATTATTCGGATGCGCGCGCTAATGTGTGTGTGTGTGTGTGTGTGTGTGTGTGTGTGAGAGAGAGAGAGAGAGAATACAGTATCAATCGAGCAATTAGATCCGATACAACCGGGATCGCCATTGAAATAATCAACGTTCTTTCACTGAGAAAAATATTGTAACTATATAATGTATGGTTGTAACTTGAACTGTATAATCACATAGAGAGATAGTCACTATAAATTATGGTCATGAAAGATATATTTTTATTAAATTCTATTGTAATGCGTAGTGATGATAACCTCATATGCAAGTTATCATTACCGTTTTCGTGCAAAAAATATCGGGCCTGAAAATAACTAAAATGTCAATTAGATCAATCGTTTCTTTTTCTCTCAGTATCTTTTATCGAATCCACGGTCGAGTATCCCGCGATGACTACCCATAACTTAAGACGTCGGCGATTGAAAAAATGCGGCATTGAAAAACGTAAATCACGTCCATAAAACGTGTAAGAAACACGGCTAATTAATGCAAGTGACCAGACGGGTCGTTCATGTCATTTACACGGACAACATGTATTTTATATTAGCGCGAAACGGCGAGTCTCGCCTCTTTTCCGCGATCGCTCTCCCGGGCGAGCCGGTCGCTCACGCTCGCGTTACGTCACCGCTAAGCCGTTACGTCAGACGCATTATGCAATCGTTGCGCACAGCGTGACGGCTCGAGGCGCGTTAATGGCAGCAATACAACGGCAATTAGAACGTTATTACCGAAGCGTCGAGAGCACTTAATGTCCTCGCGATGCTCGCGAACGCGATTCACGGGACATCCCGCATGCGGAATCACCGAGACAGATCTATCCGTTCTTCCTTTCAACCGCGGATCTCTTTCTCTCTCCCCCTCCCCCCTCCAGCCGCCGTCCCGACGCAACTTGACTTCGCCTTAACGGAATTTCGACTCGATCGAGACATTTAACGTTAACGGTATAGCGCAAAATCGATCTGCCAAACGAGACGCGGCTTCGCGTTTTCTCCGCGCGAGAACGACCCAAGTAGAAATATCTCCAGGAAAAACTGGCTAATTTTTGTACCGGTTAGGATTTATCGGAAGGCAGGAGAGGGAGAAGTAGTAATTTCAGAAGCATTATTCAATATAAAAACAGGTCTAAGAAATAAATCCTACTTTTTGCCGGCTAGGATTTAGTGGACGGCTTATATTAATTATTCAGAATAATCAATCATGTTGGGCAGGAAAATACTGGTCGATGTTTCTTCTGAAAATTTACCGGCTGATGTTTTCTCTCGGAAAGAAGGAGAGAAACACGATCGAGACAGGGCAGTTTGTAGATGCGAACGGCCGCGACCTCGCGACAGAGGCATTACGATTCGACCAGATTTAATGGCGCAAGTTTAACTTTTCCTACGGCCGCTATTATCTTATGTACGCCACGGTTTGCATATCTTTCCAACTTCTCCGCGGTTATTCCTAGAGTCTTCATTACGCCTGAATGAACCTAACGAGACAAACCTGTTCGACAAGAACGGAAAAACGACCTCGTAGAATCGAAGGGAACTTCGTAATTACGCAAATAATAATTACTTTTCGATACTGAAAGCGCGGCGCACGCTTTAAATTCGATCTATTTTAGTAAGCTAGTATTAGTTCTAATATTAGCGTCGTAGTAAGCACTGGCAAAACTTTGTCTGAACTCTTAGCACATTATAATTCAAATCGTGTAGCTTTTATATTGTGCGCTTCTCTCTATCTTCGCGAAATTCACAAAAACTTTCGAGCCAATTAGCAAAATGTCTTTTTATAATGCATCGATTCTACGATACTTGTGTTTTAATTATCAAAATTGTAAGAATGGTAAAATGCTAAATGTGCAACATTAGCCAGTAATTTTCGAATTTCTGTTAAGAATCGATTATTCTATTAATTCTAAAATCGAAAAGCGGCTGAGGCGTTTAGTTTTAGTTTTAGTTTTAGAGTGATGACAAAAATTCTGAGTAAAAGTTACTGACTACATCCTGAGTTATTTTTCACTCGGAGGTGTCGGCTTCTCCAAAAATTGTTCCACGAGAGATGGAAAGACGTGTGAAACATTGAAGGAAATAATATTGATTGAAACGTTCCCGCCGTGACAAACAGAAAGTCGCAAGTGTCACGTTGAGCGAGATGTCATTCGGATAAGGGCGCTCTCGCGAATGTATGCCGGGTCCACATAAATATGCAGCGCTCTTCGTCTTTAAATTATCATCTAAATTATCTCGTCGCGTCTGTCTGCTGGCTGTCCTACACCTGTGTAAGTACGTGTGTATGTGCATGTGTGTAACCTCACTTCTCTCTCTCTCTCTCTCTCTCTCTCTCTCTCTCTCTCTCTCTCTCTCTCTTTGTCTCTCTCTCTCTCTCTCTCTCTGGTTCATCATAAACGAAAGTGCTGCACAAATAAGTAAGCGGCCGACGTGCTCGGCATAATTTGCAGCTATTGTAAAGTCATCGCGTTCGTCGTTCATGACGGCAGCGTAATCGGCGCTTTGCGCAACGACATACGGCGTCCGGTGCGGAGATATTTTCCACTCATCTCGAACGTCGACGTTATTCGCCGTGACGCCGGGACGCTCGAACCGAAAAGCGCCTCGATCCGTCTGGAAGCGCACCAATTATAACGCGAAAACGAGCGCGCGCGCGGCGGGGGGTCGTGCCGGGGTCGATGAGATTATCTGACGGCCGCTGAATTATTCGTACGCAAGATAATTCGGTTCGGGACCGTCAATCGAACCGTTCGTTCCTTATTTATGTGGATTATACGAGGCCGTGTCGGTCGCCTCGCGACTGTTTCCAAGGAAAGGAGGGGTTTCTCTTTCAAAGAGCGTCCCCTGAATCCCATCCGATCGTATTTTCCCCGCGATTTTAATCCCGCTTACAGGCCGCGATGGAATTTCCAAGCGATATCTCGTCCGCCGATCGACGAAGTCGATCTTCCATACCTGCCTTCGCCACGGCGACTTTGATTATCATACCCTAGAGACGGCTGTTATTCTTTCCGCAAATCTCAAAACGTCCGCGTTAAAATATCTATTTTGATAGAATTAAAGTTTTTGAGGATTAATATCAACGCGTCAGTCATTACCTAAGTAGACAGAGCGACTTCTTTCTAGCCAATAACTAGTCAGGAATTTTGGTTACTGATCAGTTTCTGCACGCAAAAAAGTTTCAGTTGGTGCAACGAAATAGGAACCAACTGAAAATTAGGTGATCAGAAGCGATATCTCTGTTATGAAAACTAATATTTCTGTTGTCGCAACCGAAAATATTCGTCTGAACATTCAACGATATTAGAACTCGGTTGAGACAACTGAGAACAATTGACTATACAGAAGCCTCATAAAAGAATTTTTCTGTTCCTACAGCCGAGTTTTTGTCTGATCCCTGAGCAACCGAAAATTCGGTTGCACAACGATTGCCAACAGAATTGTTTTTTTCGTGTAGCCAGTTTCTGAACAGTTTCTAGCCAAATCTTTTCCTCTACAAAATTCTGCCAAATACTTTTCGTCGTTTGACTCTATACATTGTAAAATATTATATTTTATTATTCAACATAAAAATATCATGCGATAATTCATTCACTATTAAGATAATTGAGACTTTATCTTTCAATTGCCCAGTTCATTTGCCTAGATTCTGGTCAATAAACATTGGGCAATATTTTC